CTTTTAAGAAGTATATTAAAGTAACTTATAGTTATAATACTACTCTCTCCTTTACTAGTAGTTTAAAAAGTTATAATAATAAGCATACTACTAGTAAGTTTTCTACTAATAGATTATAAGTAAGGTCTTATATATATAGATTTCTATATAAATATATATAAGCTAGTAATAGGAAATAATGTTATATTAGAAACCCCTTAAAAAGTAAAGGCTATTTAGGCTAATAACTGTCTTCTTAATATACTACGCCTTATAAATAGAGACGTAAGTAGAAACGTTTCTAAAATATATCTTAAAGAGATCCCTAATATACCTTAGCTAGATTTATAGTAGATAAGAACTGCCTATAGTCTATAGTAAAATAAACGTTATAATACCTATAAGTTATAGAATAAAGTTAGCTAAAGTAAGTAGGATATACACTACTATTAATTAGTAGCTAACACTAAATAATTAGGCTGCCCCCCCCTAATAGATATAATCTAGTATATACTATTTAGTAGTTATATTATTATCTTAATCTTAATAATAGTAATAGAATCTTAGGTTTATTAGGAAGCAAGTAGCATGGTGATTTATATATATTAATTTAAACTTATAATCTAATACTAATAAAAAAAAGAATTCCCTAGAAATCTATAAAGTCTACTTTATAGGTAATAAGTAAATATAGCCTATTAGGCTATACTATAGAAAAAGTCTTTTCTTTTTCTACCCCTCTCTTAATCTTTATAGCTTTATTATTTCCCTCTTAAGCTATAGCTTATCTCTTTATAGCTATATTTCCTCTCTTTATAGTATAATTTTATCCTCTTTTTTCTTTTTTTTAATTACTTTCTAATATTCCTTATTCTAAAGCTGTTACTCCTTATTCTAAAGCTGCTACTCCTTAAAGTGTAACACACTTTAGTTAATTTACGTTTAGTTTTTAGTTACTTATTATTAGAGACTTATCTAAGGATAGGGGGAGCTTTAACTTATGTTTAGATATAGATTTTAAGAGCTTTATCTACTTCTCCCTCTTAATTACTATTATAAAATACCTAAAGATAATATAGAGTTTCCTTTACTATATTACTTATTATTTTTAGTATTATAGAAGCTAAAGTCCTTAGAGTTACCTAAAAGGCTACTAGGTAGACTATAAATTAAAGACTTATAGGCCTAGGGCTAACTAGAAGAGTGTTTTATTTAATTACTTTAACGCCCCCTCTTCTATATATCTTACTTCTACTTTATTATTTTAATTAGTAGAGAATAAAGGGATATTAAATAGAGCTTACTTAACTATTATATTATTATATTAATACGCCTTAAAATTCTAGTGTCCCTATATATAGTTAGGATCTAAAGCTTATGTGTTATAAAATCTTATAAAACTAAATTCTAGTCTATATTATAGTATCTATAGAAAGTAAGACTACTAAACTAAAGCACTATAATAATTATACTATAGTACTTACTTCTTTATTACTTCTATAATTAAGAGAAAACGTCTACTCTAAAGGTATAAAATTATATAAAGGATTTTAATAGTATTTATATAGTTAGGTATTAAATTTTAGTCCTTAATAGGAATATTTAAGATTACTTAATAAAATCCTATTATAATAATAAAACCTTTTTTATATTTTACTTAGTTACTATATTATAGCTATCTATCTATAGGTATAGTAAGTAATAGGAAATAATCTATAAACGTTTCTAGAATATCTTATATATAATTACTTTATAGAGCTTATTATAATCTCTAGATAACTAATAGTGTAGTAGTAATATTAAAAGATTATAAGTAGAATCTTCTTTATATAAATAAATTTTACCTAGGAGAGTCTCTACGCTATGTTAAAAATAAATATAGTAAAGTTATATAGTGTTTTAGACTTATATTTCCTATGTTTCCTATAGGTAGAACTTACCCTATAGGTATTATCTAAAGCCCTAGATTATACTAAGGCCTTAGTCTAGTGTTACCCTAAGAAGTCCTTTACTATAGATATACTTCTACTTAACCTTAACTATATATTTTTACTTAAGTATATTACAAACTACGTAAAATATATAGTAATATATATCTATAGTTTCTAAATTAGTAAAGTATTAAGTAAGTAGGAGTACTAGAAGGTGTTAGGAACGTTTCTTAAATAAATTATCTTTATATCCCTACCTTTCTCTAATTTATAACTATACTACGCCTAAATAATTTTATAATAGTATATACCTCTTATATATTTATAATTAGTATTAACTATAAATATTTTTATATTAGTAAATATTTATTACTTTACTTATTTTTTAAAAAAGTACATAACTATATAGTTACTATATAATTAATAAGAATACTATATATACTTTTAATCAATTTCTATTAGTATATAATAATTATTAAAATAATAGGATACTCTTATATATATCTACTAGTTTTGTTTTTTAGTTTGCTATAGTGTAATAGTAATTACCTATATCTCTTTAGGAAATAAGAGGATTTATTATTTTTAAATAATATACTAAAGATAGTCTGTGTTTATAAGGCTTTTATATATATCTATAATTAACTTTCCTTTATGTTTTAAAATAAACTATTTTAGTTTATTAAAGTAAAGAAATATATCTAGAAATATATTAGTAAAGATTTTTTAAGGTTTTTCTTATATTCTTACTTAGGCTTATTCTTAGTTTATTAATACACCTAACTACTCTTATAAGTCTATTTATAATAGACCTAGGCGTTTTAGTAGCTAGTAAGGGGGGATATAAGTACTAGCTATAAGAGGTAAAAAGGATATATAGTGTTGTTTAGAGATCTTTTAGGATAAAAAACCTTATTTTAACCTTACACTTTATTTTTTATAGTTATAGTAGTTCTTTATAGTGTACCTTATTTATTAAAAAGAATTAGTTAATTCTCTTATAGTATATATAAAATATATTATACTATATGTTAGCCTCTTTTATTTATTACTTATAAAAAAGAAGTACTCTTACTTTCCTTCCTCTACTAGCTTATTATTAGTGCTATTAAGTCTACTATAGATATAGTCTATAAGACTTATCTATTTAGTAGGAATTATAAGCTAGAAATAATTAGTATAGTCTTCCTAAGTATATAAGTTTATATAGTAAATAACCTATTATTAAATACTAATAAGATACTAACTTATATTAGTTTATCTCTTAACGTAAGGGATAACTCTTACACTATAGTTTAATTCTTTTAGCTTAGGCTTATAGGTTTTAATCTAAGTATTATATATAAGACCTTTCTAAAATCTAGTGTATATTCTATATATTATCCTGCTTATCTTTTAGTTTTTACTTAAAACTAATTAGAAACGTTCTAAAGATCTTCCTACTTACGCTAGTATTTTTTTCTTAATAGTAAATTCTTTTACCTTAGTCTATATAGCTTCTATTTACTTAGCTAACTCTAAAGTAAGGCTAAAGTAATAGAAGTCTGTAATAAAAGTGTATAAGTATACTTTACTACTAGTATAAATATAAGTATAATATATAACTAGTGTATCCCTAAGAGCTATATATATAGTTAGAAATAAAGCTGCCTTTTATTTTATATTATACTAGATCTATAACTAGATTAGTAAGTTATTTATCTAAATAATAGTAAAATATATAGTATCTTATAGTGTATTAACTGCTTTTTATAATAGTAACTCTATTAGAATAATAAATATAATACTAGTCTTTAATATATTTAGTATCTCTAGGATTCCTATAGGATAGTAAATCTATCTAACTATAAGAATATTTCTATTAGGATGTAATCTCCTGTTTATAAGCTTTATATTTAAGATAAGAATAGGCTTAATATCTTATAGTTCTGTTATTTATTATTTTTTCTTAGTTCTTTTAATATACTTCTAATAAGAAAATAATATTTTACTTAATAAATAACATCCTACTAGATAGGATTTATTTCTTATTATAAACTTAGATATATAGAAAACGTAATATTATTACTAATAATATCTTAACTTTCTTCTAGATTATAGAACTTATCTTTTAGGATATATAGTGTTAAGAATAGTATAGTCTCTTTAATATCTATTAGGTCTACTATATTTAGCTATAGTAAACTTACTATTATACTAATAGGATTAGTAGGAACGTTTCTAAAACGTTTCTAAAATATTTCTAATACTAAAAAATTAGAAATATTTCTTAAATTATTCTTATTATATCTAGAAATATTCTAGAAACACTTTTAGCCTATTTATACTAGAATTCCTATCTTAATAATATTATAACTATTAACTAGTAGTATAATTACCTTACTAGAATAAAGAAAATTATTTATCTAAATAGTTATTAGTTTAGAAACGTTTTTAGTGTATATACCCTAGAAAAATATTTATATACTAGTTCCTAATTAGTCTAAAAACGTTTCTAGTGTATACGCCCTAGAAAAACTTTTACATGCTAGTTCCTAATTAGTCTAAAAACGTTTCTATAGGGTATAACCTATATTTTTTTTTTATATACCTACCTATCTATTAGATAAAGCCTTATTATCTGTATCTATTGTTAGGTTAAGCCTGCACAGGCTAGCGCGCACGGTACTCTTGGGTTGTCAAGGGGGGGGCATTATTAGCTTGTCTGATTGCTTGACTGACGATACTATTGGCCTTACGGATAAGACCTTCTCTGACTGTAAAGAGACTGCACTAAAGGAAGTGACTTTTACTGCAAAGCCTAAGCAGTTTCTGACCACCGACCAGCTGATAACATTTAACGGCGGCGTGTTATTTCTCAGCACTAACAGTAAAATAACCCTCTAACAAAAGGGTCAAGGAAAGCGACTTGAGCCTGTTGATGCCGCTTCGCCGCAAGCGCACCAGCAATACGTAGAGCAACGCGCATGAGGAGCGTATATTGCCTTAATTTGCTAGCCTGAAGCGTGGTTTGACTATTCCGTTGCTGCACAACACCAGTCGCCCGCAAACGAAGATATTAAAGACCTTAACCGCTAAATTACATAGCAGATGAAGAATCTCAAGCGCGGCCTTTGCTTTTTGCTGCTCAACCTCAAGACTGTAAAACTCTTCGTCTTTGTGGATGGATTGTTCGCTAACAACGCTGACCTTACTTCGCAACTCGGCTTTATTGTTATCCTTGTGAACAAAGAAAGTAACAACCACACAACCACAGGGAAGACCCCAGATGACACCGGTATGTTCACTGTAACCGAAAATATTATCCATTTCAGCTCTACGAAGTGCAAGAGGGTCACTTGGAGCGTGCTTGCCAGCAAGATATACGCTATGGTCGCTGGCGCAGATATTGCGCACGCAATTGGAACCACACTTGCGCTCATCACCGAGCGACTCGCGATTCCATTGATCCCTACGGTTATTTGCACCGATTCGTACTCGCTTTACAAGTGTCTCGTGAAACTCAGCACCACTAAGGAGAAGCAACTCATGATAGATATCATGGCCCTTCGCCAGTCGTACGAGCGCCGCGAAATACACGAAATACGATGGATTCACAGCAGCGATAACCCTGCCGACAGCTTCACGAAGTCGTCGCCAAACAGCACGCTGGAAGCGCTCGTCAGCGACGGGAAGGTGAAGATACGGATGAATGGATGGGTATTGCGTACGTGAAAGGATACGTTACGCCTGGATAGATAGGCTTGGGTACGGCTTGTGTTTACTGTTTTTTGCCACTCTTTTTACCTCTGTTTTGTTGATCTAGTTACTGGTGTATTTACGCTGTTTGACGGCGCTTTCTACCACAAGAGAAAGTTGTCAGTGTTGCGATATCAATCGCCCGGAGATATCGGCCGTTACGCCGATGTCTCGGCGGCAGAAGCACGAATGTTCCGCCGGTGAATTCCCCCGGAATTCACAGGTATTTAATCGCTTTCCAACCAAGCGATCATAACCCTCTTCTCTAGTTACGCATAATAGACCATTAGTATTTTCCCCCTATATTGGTCACTTGCCACCCAATACGTACGGTTAACCGTATCACAACTCACCCTTGTGATTCCAACAATAATCTATAATATAATCTATACTTAGAATATCTAACTAAGATAATATCCTAGACGTGTACCCTAGATGTAGATTAGATATTTGTGCTAGATATTTATACTAGATGTGCGTCCTAGGTGTGTGTCCTAGATATACGTCCTAGATGTGTGTCCTAGATATGTGTCCTAGATGTTTATGCTAGGTGTATGTCCTGGATGTGTGTCCTGGATGTTTATGCTAGGTGTGTGTCCTAGATGTTTATGCTGGGTGCGTGTCCTAGATGTTTGTGCTGGGTGTGTGTGCTGGATGTGCGTCCTGGATGTGTGAATATATTTATAATATAATTTATAATATTTCTTAATACTCTGCTGTGTACGCAGGAGTTTGCCTACGTATAGTTAAGGACGTAAAAATCCGCTTAAGCATGACCACGTACGCGGAAACATACGTAGGAATGGCTGCGCACGTAGGAGTCTGCTTAAGCCGCTTCGCCAACCCAGCTTAGTACTTATTATGGTGCGGGGTAAAGGTGGCCCTAATGTGGGTCTTCGAGGCCTTAGCAAAAATGGAGCCATCTGGCACTCGATGGGATAAGAGCATGTATGTGCGGTGTACCTGAGTGGGAAACATGGCGAATTAGTTACGCTTGGATGCCGTAACTGTTGTTAGATAGTACTCACCATCCTTGATTTCCTTTTTTACTTAGAGGCACTTTATTGCTTGGAGCGTGGAGGCTGAATGCCGCCGACCAGTCGCTTCGCCATGGAAGTCTCGCTAGAGGGCCCGCTCACTAATTATCCTTTAGCGTCTAACGTATCTTGTACTTTCAGCGTGATGTTATTGACCGATGCATAACTCAACACTGAGGGCAAATTGCTAAAAACAAGGACATATAATACCGGGCATTCGCTGGCCGTGACCATATCACTGGAGATTATTATATCGTAACCTACTTCGGAGCGCCCGAAGGCAGTGATCCGCCTATATTCACTAATCCCTGAAGTCTACCCATTAAAGCATTAATTAAGGGCGGGTATATGCGGGCTGAAGCTTCTGACCTACTCTTCCCTGACTAACATCTTAATTTCCACTGATTAGGTGCAAAAGCAGCCAGATTATCCTCCCGGGACTGTCATAACTGCTACGTATCAATAAAGGCAACATTCCGCGACTGGGTACCTTTGAGACGACGTCGGAAGTCATGTTATGGGATGCCCTATATGCGAGCAGCAGTCCAGATAGTTTGCCCTCTAGAAATATCCTGAAGTGCTTGTTAGAGGTTAAAGTCTATGTATCGCTTTATACGATATAGTGTGATGAAAAAGACTACTATTAATATAGATATCGCGCTAAACCCCTATAAGCGGTCTAGTGCAGTTCATCCAGTACTTATCACAATACGTAAAAACCTCGATACACAGCACCTCTAACCCGTACCAAGTCTCCGTGTTTGAATACTGCAGACAGAAACCCAACAACATAGAGGAACGGCCGAATCCGACCTACTTCTATCATGGCCCGGAACAACCTTTGGAATATTGGTGAAAGATTTGGCGATGAAGAAGCTCGGGCGGATTCGCCGACGAGCCACGCAGACAGACAGGTAAAAACCTTTACGCCTTAGGTCATACTGCACAGCGACCTTGCTGGCCGCGGCCAGTTCTACGAAAGGCGGCTGCAAGCTGGGCTCTAGTATTCCTTGCCGTCGAAAAGACGACAATAAAAAAGGTCTTAGCTACTAAATAAGGACTTATGAAAGCTACTAATAATGTTGTAGCGGGCTGGCCAATTTTAATATAAAACAAGGCTCCCCCGGAAATTACCGCACTTCTCATATTTATTTAACGTTTCTAGTTCATTTTAATTACTATAAAAATTACTGCTTACTACCAAGCAGCGCTACCTTTTCAGCATACCTAAGATAGTCATAGTGCCTAAATCAAATCTATATAAACTAAACACAGCACATAACATTCTTCCTAGCATTGATCCCTACAAGCAACTTTTCTGGATCTCGCACTCTCCTGACTTAGTTTTATAATTTCTTCCAACATTACCTTAGATTCTTAAGATGAAGCTTCTTTCCTTGTGGACTATCACCTTACTCGCTGTTAGCGTTACAGCTAGTCGCTGCAAGTAAGTTATTGTTAGTGTAGGCTATAACTGGTCTTATAACTTTTATAGATGCTACGAAGGCACCTACAGCGGTCATCACCACTCTAAAACTAAGAATGCCTGCGGCGCCGTTGGAGGTAACTACGACGAGGAAAGCGGATGGTGTACTACCTCATCTAGTGAAAGAAACTGGGTCACAGTAAGCAGTTAACAACTAGAACATAATGTTATTATACTAACAAAAACAGCACTGTGCCTATGGTGGTAGCTGTGAGTAATAACCGTGGGGAACTAGGTGGCTAGGAAGTAGTAGCCTTGTGGACTATTAGAATAGGGTGGGGCGATCGACCTATTAGAAACTAAGAATGATAGAGAGAGGGGCTTAGATGATTCGATCGAGGTATAAAACCATTAAAGATAGACAGATCGAGACAATAGTAGCACACTTTAACAGTCCTTCGCTCCTCCTGAATCGCCTTTGACATTCATCTCTGACCCGCTGTTCCCTCGAGCAACGTCTACTTTCCGGCTTAGCAGGCAGGCGTCTTCCATTACTCGCTTAGGACGCCAGACACGTCGACTCTCTACGAGTACCGCGAGCGATTGCACGGGAACGCCGATGGCCGGAGTGTTGGGAAGCATACATGCACAGCCATATAGTAGAGAATTGCTGATACTATTGTGTTTCCTAGCGAATTCTGAAGTGTCAATCGATATGCTCTATCGTGGAGGTACGCCGAGGAAGCGTTAGACCGAAGATGGTGGGATCGAAAACACGGGTGCACCACATGACGTCACTCTTCAGCCTCTGCTATCCAACATGTCAACATTGAATGATGCGATGTGCGAACTTTGGCGGCTGTCGGCGGTCTCCACTGATGTCGAGGGGACATATACTCTTCATCCTGACGTAAAGGCAACCGTCTTGGAAAAACTGCCTTCAGCATCCTACCCTTTTTGGCGGCTGCAAGCCCTCATCACCGCGTACCGGGCTGTGCCATGGAAATATCTCGAGGTCGTGTGAGTATACACCCAGTCAATTAGTCAACAAATGCTAACAATGGTAAGGGAGCCGCACTTGGGGGCGACTCTTACAACCCACGTGGCCCACACTTTGACGGCTGTTCGAGAACACGACGGTTATGAGAGCCTGTCCATGAGTGACAGAGTTGATATTGTACTGACGCTGATCAAAGCTTCTCAATTTCCTGGTATGGAGTGGAAACGTCTTGCGGTTTCACAGGCAAAAGCGACTATGTGCGGATTACAAGATCAGTATGTCCACTCTTGTATTGCGCAAAGAGAGTCTCTGCTGCAACGCCTTGCTGGATACGTCAAGCCAGCAACTTCAGTACGCGAATTGCGCCAAGGCCATACGAATAGCGCTGTTAGTAAAAGGATGCACGCCGCAATCGGGTTCACTGACTACCAAAGAGCGTTAGATCTCTTCCAGAACGAGGACTTGTCCTCAGCTATGGATACACTCAAAGAGTGGCGCCTAACCAAGCCCGCCTCTTCCACTAAAGAGGCAGTCCTGTTCCGCATGAACCTCTTGCGTGGGAAAATTCTACGTTTCCAAGGCAAGTTTCAAGATTCTCTCGAGTGCCTGAGCAAGTCGAGATGTGCGGCGGAACAACTTGGAGAGCTTCACTTCGACGAAGATGCTACAGACTTGGTTGTCGAAGTCGCCGATACGGTGATAGAACTGAACGACCCAATTCGCGCAGAACAGTTGCTAAAAGAGCAACTTGAGCGACAATATTACACTCCGGCTGCTCGCGCGCTGCTCAGCCTGTCCCTCGCTGAGTCCCTGTTCGCCCAACAAAGATTCCTGGAGGCCGACCGACTCTGTCGTGATGTTGAGTCACAGCAGTTGTCTAAGATGGCAAGACTACGTCTATGCATCACAGCAGCTACGCTGCGGTATGTAACCTCTCATTGGGAAGGCGTATTTTCATGGTGGACACAGGCGCTCCTTACTATTAACAAGTTTCCCCCAACTAGTGGACATGCGACGCGCATTATTTACGTCTCACTTTGCAATGTACTTAAGCACTAGGGCCAGCAGGAGTTAGAACAAGCGTCCCGTGCGCAGGTGGCTAACTTGGAAACATTGTCTAGACACGTAGAAGCAAAGCATTAGATAGCAGGCCTGCGTTATTAGCTTATATCTTATTAGGTGCTGCTTAACGCTATTTTTACTAAAGGTAAGGTAGAGCTAATAAGAGGCTATTAATCTATTAAGTTAACTAATAAGGTTATAATACCTTAATTACTTATAAATTTTCAGTATACTAAAAGTACTAATAATCCTTTTAGATATAAAAAGGTATATTATAGTCTAAGTAGCTTTTCTTTATATATTTATATTACTATACAAGGCTATTTCTAGATATTTTACTTAAGGTCTAGTAAGTTTTTACTACTTTTAGATTTCTATCATAAAAGTAAAGTAAATTAACCTTTTTTAATTTCTTTATATAGTATTTTTATAAGATTAAGGTATTTTTTTATTTATAGCTTATTTAAGCTATAATTTTTATTATCTTTTTATTAACAGTTTAAACTACTTAATAAGCTAAAATATAAGTAGTTACTACTAGTAGTAGTAAGTTTTTACTTTTTACTACTTAAAATTACTTTAAAGCTATAATAAAAAGCTATTTACTACTACTACTTCTAATAAGAAATTTTATATAATTAACTACTAGCCTCTTTATTAAATAAGATAGCTATATTAATAATAAGACCTTATTTAGTTACTTATGTTAACTTTATTTATTTTATAATTATATTTATTAATTACCTTAAGGACTAAAAGGTCCTTATAAATATCTAAGCTAAATACTTACTAAGTAGCTTTTTTAGTAGTAAAATCTTTAGCTAGGTAGTAGTAACTATAAATAACTTCCTAGCTATTTAAAAAGATAGTTAATAAAAAAAGTACTCAAGTATTATTTTTTTAAGTAAATTAGTTAACTTATTTATTAGTTAGTTAAGTAAGTAAGTAAGTAAGTAAGTAAAAAGATATTAAGTTACTTACTTTTTTATTTAAAGTAAGAATATAGTATACTTTACTTTAAAGTATACTTTATTTTTTAGTCTTTTTTTAAATAATTAAGATGTTATTTATTTTACTATTTTTTATTTAGTACTAAAAGCTTTAACTTATTACTTTTATAAAGTATAAAAAAGCTATATAAAAGTAAAAAAGTTATTAAGAAAAATATAGTAAGTTATAACTAAAAGTAAGAAAATAAAAGTAGTTACTACTTACTATATTAGTATTAATAAAGCTAGTTTTTTACTAGCTAGCTTAGCTAGCTTGGCCTACCTAGCTAACTAGGCTATCTAGGCTATCTAAGTAGGCTAGGCTAGCTAGGCCTAAAAGACTAGTATATATAGGCCTTTTTAATATATATACTATAGTTATTATATATAGTAACTAAACTAAGTAAAAGTCTGGATCTTATAACTAGTTAAAATAAGTTTTATTAAAATTATTATTATTTTTAAAAATTAACTTATAAATTAAACTATAACTTTATTAACTATAAAGTCTAAACTAGTTATTTATAAAAAGTCCTTAGTCTTTTAAATATAAGCTAACTACTAGTTAACTTTTTAGTATATATTTAGTATTTAATTTAAGGCCTAGCTATTATAACCTAATAAATTATAGGCTATATTACCTTACTTAATCAATAGATAATAGGCAGTAGTAGTATTTATATAGATAAGACATAAAGAATAAACAGATAACTCCTTAAAATAAAAGAACTATAGTATAAGTTATATAACTATAAGCATAAGATAAGATAAAAAATAAGCGCTTATTTATAAGTAAGATAAGCGCTTAGTAAATACCTAAGTAAGTGCTTATTTTACCTTATAACTATTAGTTAAGAGAACTATTTAGGGAATAGTTAGGACTTATATATAAGATAGACTTAGATAGACTTAAGAACAGACTCCTATAGCTCTTTAGTAATTAACTTATAATATATTCTCTAAATACCTTTTAGTATCTAACCTTAGTAATTTAATTAACTAGAAGCTATATAAGCTACCTTATAACCTTAACTTTAACTAATTACTAAGTAATTAATAAGATAATAAGAATAATAAATACTTCTAACTAAGTACTAACCTCTACTTACTATTAGTAAAAACCTTACTATATAAAAGCTAGCTATAACACTTTAATTACTTTTATTAGGTAAGTTAACCTTAATACTTACTTAATATTATTTTATAATATTTATACCTAAAATAACCTTAACTTTCTCTAGCTTTAAAAAAAACCTAACTACTTTAGCTAGAAGCCTAAATAAGAAAATAAAAGATATTAAAAAATCTAATAATAAGGTAGACTTTACTTAAGGTATATAAGATAAAATCTAGTAATATATGAAGTAAAATAATAATAATATAGGTTATATAATATATATAATAAGTAAGTTAATTAAATAAGTAAAGTAATTAGCCTACTATAATTATAGTCTTTTCTTCTTTTTACTATATATCTAACTACTAAAAATAATATATTTACTAAATAATAAAGCCTAATTACTCTTAGCTATTAAAGCTATCTAAGGACCTTATAAAACTAGTATTTAGGCTATATTATATATCTATTTAGTACCCTTCTCTATATTACGTAACTATCTTAATAAGAAACCTTTATAATATAATACTATAGCTAACTTATAGAATTTAATAGAACTTAAAAAGAGAAAGCTAGTTAAGTTTATTCTTAACCTAAATTCCTAATTATTTTCTCTCTAGCTTAGTAGTGTTAAAGAAATAGCTAATTAACTACTTACTAACTATAATATATTACTAGTTAGTAAGCGTTAGGCCTTAAACTTTATTAAATAAATACTAAAGCTTTAAATATATTTATATTAAGAATATAACTATAAAAAAGCCTAATATAAAAATCTTAATATAATTAATATATAGTTCTCTTTTATAGTAAATATAATTATAAAATATAGTATTATAAAGTTAGATATTTATAACTTTAATAAGACTAGCTTTATAATAGGCTAGACTATATTTAAAATAGTTATTATAAGCTCTAAAAGACGTTTAAATATAAAAATAGTATAGCTTAGTAATTAAGGATAGGTTATAGTTATTTAAGCTATTAGTTTATTTAGTTATAGCGTCTTACTATGTATTATTATTAAAGGTAAAAACCTTCTTTTTCCTTAGTATATAAAATCTACTTTTTTACCTAACTAAGTTATTATAATATCTTAAAATAAATAGATAATAAATAAAGAAAGCCTAAATTAGCTTTAGTACTTTAATTAATATTTAAAGTTATATATAAAAAGAAAATATTACCTTTTTATCTTTAATAAGTATAAAAGTTACTACTTTATAGATTTTAAAGTATTTTCTTAAGAAAATAATATTATTACTTTCTATATACTATCATATTCTTTTTATTTACTTTAGCCTTTAAATATAAAATACTTTAGGTCTTTAAAGTTAGTATATAGTTAAGAAATTAAAAATAAGATATAATAAAGTAATACTTATATTACTAAGAATAACTTCTTTATAGTATTTTATAACGCCTTTAAGTAAGCTCTTATAGAAAAAAATATCTAAGTAGGTTTTAAAAGGTTAGAAATTATCTTTTTAAGTATAAAAAGTATACTATTAAAGCTAAATATTAAGTTATATACTTTAATACCTCTAGGCTCTCTCTTAATAATACCTCTAGCTTAGACTTCTTAAATACTACATACTATATTAAAAATAAATTCTTAAAGAACTTTAATTAAGGATTACTTTATTTATTATTTAAATAGCTCCTTAATATATAGTTTAATAGCTACTGAGTATATTCTTAAAGGAGCACTGAGATATATATATAAAAATACTTTATTAAGAGCTAAGGTTAAAAGCCTTTAAGAGGGAAATAACCTACTTAACTAATATAAAAGAACTAAAAAAGTTTACCTTAAATAAAAAAGAAGTCTTACTATAGCTAATATATAAGATATTTAGTTATAAAGAGAGGCTATAGCCTAGGTATAAGAGGAAATATATTAAAGTAGTAGTTATAGACTAAAGATAAAAACAGGTTAATAGTGTTATAGTACCTATAAGAACGCTAGATATAATATATAAATATATTAGTTTAATAAAAAGATATCTAAAGTAAAGGATTCTAAGTAGTTTAAATTAATTTAACTATATTATTATTAGTTCTTTATTATCTTTATAAGGTAGTTATAGTAAGCTAATTACTTTACTTATCTTATTAACTTATCTATTATATATATTATAAGCTATAATTAATAATATTAGTAAAAAACTAAATACTAAAAACCTTAAAGTTAGCTAGCTATAAAGTATAATTTATAATACTATTACTTAACTAAAAAATAAAATATTTAAGACTAAAAAACTAAATAAAGAAGTAACTATCTTTAGAGATACTATAAATATTATTACTACCTTAGTTAATAAATATAATAAGCTTAAACTTAACTTACTTAAAACTTATTGTTGCGATGTTGACCATCGCCTGGATATTAGCGGTATGGATTAACGCCGAACGGCCGGAATAACTACGGCCGATTCGCCGTGGATCCACCGGATTCATGGGGATATTACGCGGTGGATTCGCCGCGCAATCCCACGATAGTTTCTTTTCCTTTACGTATAATTCAGAACCGGTATTTACCCCTATTATTCGTCACTGCCTATTGATACGTACGGTTAACTGTATTACTAACCTGGTGAAACTAACACTTATAATAAAACTATTATAGGACTTTCTCTATAGTATTCCTAGGCGCACAGCCTATCTAGCCCTATAGGTTAGATAGTCTATCTGCCTTAAGCCCTAACCTAGCCTACCTAGATATCTATCTAGCTAGGCCACGCCTTTTAGGGCAGTTAGTTAGGGCTGCCTTTTTTCTATATTAAGTGGTAGTATAACTAGGTTCCTAGCTTAGTGTTATAGGTTTAATTCCTAGTCTAGATTCTAGATAGTACTATAGAGGCAGCTAAGTATAGGCCTAGTTATATACG